ATGTGTTTGTGTATCGCCAGAGCTGAAGAAGCCGACGCTTTTTTCGTGGAATATTGACGTGATTTCTGACTGTCGCGAGCTCCGGAGACTGTCCACAGACTTCTTGCAGGTGCACTACGCATTTTAAAAGAGCTACTTTGCCAGTCGCGCCTTCTACGCTTACATATACCGAACGCGGAATCGGCCGGTTTGCGCAGATAACGACTTTTGAGAATAGCCATTTTGTACGGGGAGTTTGCTGTAGACTACCTGCAAACGCCATTAGACACCTGAAACGAGGTGTCTATGAAAAATAAACCCCCCGCAATTCTGTAATCTGATTGGTCAATTGCGCGTGACTGCGGTCTAACTGTATATAGTACATACATGTGCATACCTACGAGCGTTCCTGCTGACGCCATATGCATGGTTCGTTTGAGGCAAAACTGCCAAATCTAACTAATGGCAATGTTATGGGATACGCCTATAACAGAGTGTTCAAGATTTATGCTTTAAAGATGCCAATTGCCACTTGCACCATCGCTAGCTACCATTGCTACCGGCACTACCTCAGCAATAATTGCTACTAGCACCATCTCAGCTTCAATTGCTACCCCTGCTACCAGTTCTACCAGTGCTACCAGCACTACCTCATCTACCATTGCTACCTCAGCTTGCTACCTCGGCTATCAGCTACCATTGCTACAAGCTATCAGCTACAGCTGCTACAAGCACTACCTCAGCTACCATTGCTACTGCCATACTTATGCCCTATATATTACCCAAGTTCACTCACCATAATAAAAAAACACAAACATTCCTCTACAAAACTAATGGCAATTCTACTTCCGGCGAGTTTCTTGGGTTTGTCTTTGTGAACTAAGTGACATCCAGGAAAAAATATCTGCAGCAGTTTTATAGGCCATGCATAGTCCTGGTATACATAAAGTTGCAGCTGTTTCACATCTTTTTTACATAGCCCTATGTCATCTTCCAAAATAACTCCGGTTTGCATGACTAGAGGTATACACATGTAGCATAAATGCACACATTAATTTTGTTGGACAGACTGGTTCATGGAGCTATGAGGGGGGGGGACAAAAATGCCCATGGTTCAACTGCACCCGTGTTAAATGGACTGCAGTCGGACCTCTCGGGCTCTGTAAACAATACAGGAATGTGTATTATAATACCTCTAAATCCCAAGTCTTCAAGAGGATGAAGCATTTGCAGTGTTAGAATCTCAAATGCCTGCAAATATGAATTCAGTTAACAGAACACTCACGGAAATTATTGGCTAGGAGATTTAACCCTCGGCGCACATGCGCAGCGAGTAGTTGGGTCTGTGTGTCTGTCTGTCTGTCATCTCATTTCTCGAGTGTTCGTTCGTCTCACAAACAAAGGATACCACCTACTGAACGGGCAATGAAGGTCAGAACTTTCGAACGGTTTTCTCTGAAAAAGCTCCGTTGCAAAGCTAGAGTGCGAAAAAGCCAATATGCAAATACACAACGGGCATGATCGATCCGCGTGCTCTGCGTACCTCGGAGGCACCAGAAGATGCAACGCAGGGCGTGTATCGCCTCTCGCATGCTATCTAGTAGTGTAGTTAGCCCGCGTCAGACTCTGCGCGAGCTGGCAAGAGACCACGAGTAACAGCTAAAACTAAACCCAGCCCATCAATTAGTGGTACGGCGCATGCGTTTACTTACGCGTGCGCGTCACAGTGCGCCGAGGGTTTGCACTTCAGTGCTTTTCATTATTATTATTGTTTGTTTTCTGACACGGGTTATATAGCATTTTAGGCATTGCGAGACTGGACACTTGCCCTCCGTTTCAATGCCTCCACAGCACGCATGCAGGCGGAATGCAGTCGAGGTAAGCCAGTGGTATTTGCATATTGGCTTATTCACTTGGTTTTCACGCCATAGCTTTTGAACACAGTAGCCTCTGTAGCAATGAACGATTTTGTGAAATATTCACAAACCAGGTACCATAATCCTCACTGTACATACACACCAAGGGTTGAATATTACAACAAAGAATCTGAAAAAAAATGCATTTTGACTGGGAACTTTAAAACACTTTGGGCAAGGACAAGGTAGGCTAAACTTCATTCTTTTCAACGTATGCAAGCATTTCTTATTGGTATAGCAGAATCAAAGCACTTAGGTCCCTGGCGTAGGATAAGTAATATCCTAGGAATGCATAATGACATGGCTTTACAAATAAGAGACTTAGCACATTGCACACGGTTAATAAGGTTAGAAAATGCTAAAAATTTAAAAAAGAAAGAGAGAAAAAACTTTGCTGGTGGGATTCGAACCCACTACCCTTGCCTTCACAATGCAGCAACACTAGACCAACTGTAGGGGAAGTATGAGCTATATTCAACATGCGCAATCTGCTATAACCCTTTCGGTCACAAACTGTTGTAAATTTACACACTTCCAGAAATGCCAAAAAAACTCGCAAAATTGTGAACTTTGACCCGGCAGGCGGGCAGCATTGTGGCATTATCTCGTAAAAACCACCCATGCTTCCTCAGAAGTGGTCAGTCGCCTCTTGGATGTGGCGGTCAAAGCTTTGATGTTGCTTTCATCTATCCTTTCAGTACTATAAAAAAAGCCAAAAGGTCCGGATTGAGTGAGACATGTCATAAATGTCTCAGCAAGATGAAAGGCAGGCACAGAGGCTGTGCGTTGGTCTGTAAAACGTCAGGAAGAAAGATCGCAACAGCGCGCGTGCGCAGGATGAAACTCAGGAGAGTTAAGACAAAACCATCGTTATCAGACAAGGAATCTTGTAGTGTCGTAAATCGCGCGAGCACACGGCTGTTCCGCGCGCATTGAAATCCGGCACTCTGTTCGCGGGGGGGATCCGGAAACGCCCTGTGCGCGCGCCGCGCTAAAAGCATAGCAACCATGCGGCTATTCGGTCGGGTCAAGGATCATGTGACGCCATTGGCGGCGCGCCCGTAATTTAGTATATGCGCCCCCCCCCCCCACATTAATTTGCATTCCAACGAAGAATAGAACGTGCGGTGGTTGACGTGAGCGTCGATAACAGCAGTCACGGCGCCATGAACAGAGTACTACAGCGCTCTCACGCTTGGTGTTGGACTGGTGCAGCCTGGTAAGTCTTCGTGAGTACACTAAAGTTTGTGCGCGCCAAAAAGGGAACTTCTTGGTTTTCTAGATGGTGACAACACGCGGCTATTGCAGAACTGGAGTTCATGGATAACAGAAAGGTGAGTTTAAATTGACTAGCTTATTGCGTTACACTCCATTCGTGCTTCAGAACTCTCTTTATAACATTGATCTTGTGCTGTATGTCTTTATCTTGTTGGGCTTGAGAACATAACATTCCATATTGTTCGGTTAGTTGGTCCATTAGGGAAAGTGACGCTTCTTGATAGACCCTTGGGAGCATTGTGTCGAAATTTGGACTTGATTTTGCTTCTCAGAATGTCAAAAGCTAAAGCTTTGTCCTCATTTCTCTTGGTACTACTGAGAGGATACACCTGCTTAAAGAGCTGAGTCGAGAGGTTTGGACCTCAGTTAGCTCCTTGTCTGAGGTTCCTGGACGCATTGTTCCTTGTTTGGAGGGAGACTTTGGGACCTCAGTTAGTTCCTTATCTGAGGCTCCTGGACGCATTGTTCCTTGTTTGGAGGGAGACTTTGGGACCTCAGTTGGCTCCTTGTCTGAGGCTCCTGGACGCATTGTTCCTGGTTTGGAGGGAGACTTCAGTTAGCTCCTTGTCTGAGGCTCCTGGACGCATTGTTCCTTGTTTGGAGGGAGACTTTGGGACCTCAGTTAGCTCCTTGTCTGAGGCTCCTGGACGCATTGTTCCTTGTTTGGAGGGAGACTTTGGGACCTCAGTTAGCTCCTTGTCTGAGGCTCCTGGACGCATTGTTTGGAGGGAGACTTTGGGACCTCAGTTAGCTCCTTGTCTGAGGCTCCAGGATGAGACTCTGGGACTGGACATGGAGTATTGACTGTGGGGGTAGTGTTCTGGTGCACCTCGAGCAAATTTCCATCTGTTCTGATATATTTGCTTGGTAGCTGTACACCTTGTTCTGGCACTTTTCCCATTGGGTTAGCAGGTAGTACTCAACATCACAAAGAGACATTGTGCGGAAATGGTGCAGTGAAGTAGTAGCACTAGGAATGTAGCTTCCTGAATCAAAAAATTCTACTCCATTATTAGTGAATTGCCACCAGATTCCATTAGTCCCCTATTCTCTCCAAATGTGCCTGGTCACTGGGGATTGTTCCATCCATTCAAATGGGATTTCAGTGTTTCTCCGAGGAGGGAGCATTCTGGCTAAACTTCACTCTCTTGTGTCTGAATTGTGCTTGTGCTTTTATCCTTTTCGTAGTGGAGACGTACAAGTATGTTTTTTATGATATGTTCAGTATGCTGATTTGAAGTAGCCCTTGTTATCGCTCAAAAGTCCTTTCTTCCACTTCAGCATTTAATAGTCGAAGTGAAATTATACGATTTACAAGAGCAGAGTGGGCTGTAAGAGCATGGAAGTAGCGGCCAAACATTTTATCTTGCTCATTGTTCTTGGGGTGCTAAACACCTTTTCGAAAAGTTTGGCATGAACAAAAGTTATGTTGTGTAACCGTAACACTGACTGTGGTGATCGTTTCTCGGGTTTCGCATATAGGATTTCACATATTTCTACTGCACTTTCAAGAACAGCTGTTACAGGATAATTTGGTTGTGTGTCTTGTAGAGCCAGCAAAATCAGGACAGCACCCTTTCGAAGGTCTGAGGCTCGGAGTGTCTCCTTTGAGAGAACACTTGTACATTGAATCTACTTTTTCCTTTGCTGGTCCATTCAGTAGAACTTTGATCTCTTCAATCATGTTGCTGAGGTGGCCCTTTATGTCATGAAGAGGCTCGGGGGAGATCTCATACCATACTCTGATAATGGTTTCTCTGGAACACCCTGTAGAAGTGCTGGGACATTTGTGATTCCTCTCCGCAGCTCATCAAATTCAATCTCTAGCTCTTTTTTTCGCTTTCCAGTGACATCAATTCCTCGCATTTGTAGCTCTTCTCGAAGTTCTTGCACCTTGAGTTTATCCATTGGGTTGATCCCTGCATGATTGTCAGATTGATTATGATTACTAAGGGGACAGGAGATGCCTTTTAAGGAAAGTAAGCATGCTATGCACATGCCTTAATCCCAGCTGCCTTGTATATTGTACTATACAGTATAACAGGTAACAGCAGCACTGCTAGATTTCTCACCTCCATTTTTCCAGCTCTTGCCTTGGAGGACAAACTCTTGCCGCTCTTTCATCGATGGCTTAGGAGAGCGGTAGCTGTATGCAACATCACTGAAACGGGTACTGTCAGCTCCGCAGCCTACACAGCAGTATCTACTCCCTTGTTTGTGACCAGCCTCAAATTGTGCAGCTGGACCATCCCCATAAAAAAGCGAATTACATCTACAACTTCTACGCCATTGCTTGTATACAAACTCTCCGGTATCTCTGAGAGAGAGTTTCGTCGTGTTTCTGCAAACATAAGCTGGTCTTCGATGGTCGATGAAGATCTTGCGAGGATGTGGATCTCAGGTTGGTCCAGCACAGCTGGAACGTCTATGTCACTACCCTTGAGGCTCTTCATCTCTTCCGTTGTGCAGAAAAATGCAGGATCATATATAGCAGACACAAGGACCAGCAGATATCCATGGGCAGCAATGGAAGAATGGTCATGCCACATCTTGATGTGTCTCATGCGGCATACACTTTTTAGCTGACGAAGGGAAGACGTGCCAAACTTCTTTGAAAGGCAGTCAATTTCTGCGGCTGACAAATTATCGAAGTATTCATCACTGGAGTACCGTACAATTTCAAGACGCTCATGCCTCTCCAAGAGCTTTTTTCTAATGCTAATCAGAGATATTTTCTTGCTGTGAAGAGTACAGTGTTTTCTTGTACCTGCAGTGTCTGTGAATTTACTGTGTAATTTTTGTATGAGGATGGAACTACTTTCTCCCCTATATCAATCTCTATTTTGTTGGATACCTTCTGCCTCTCTTGTTTTACTGTGGGAAACATCGGAAAGGTTAAACCAGAACTGCCAATTCTTTTAAGGCATCTTCTTTTTGCACGGGTTGGTCTTAAATTTGTCAAAGCTGCGGGAATATCATGTTCTGCTAATAGCACTTTAACTATCTGTCCACCATTTGGTACAGCCAGGTCATATTCTCTAGCTAATTTAGACCAATTTATGTCTTTTTCAGGTGGCCATGATTTAGCTACTTGTAGCAGGTTTTCTTTGTTGGCTTCTAAAGCTTCAGGAAGTTGGTTGTATCTTCTTTTTCTCTTTGCGTGTGGTCTTGTAGGTGTCATCATTCCTTCGCTCTTTCTTATTCTGTCATACGTGCTCCAGCTCATTCGATTTTCCAATACCATGCTGCTAGCTATTTCACCTTTTTCTTCAGTAAGTCTAGATTTGATCTCTTTCTCAATTACCTTTCTCTGTTCTTTTGACTCCTTAACTGACGGTTGTTGAATGAGGTTAGATCTTGGAGTCGCAGCTAAAACCTCTTGGCCAGTTTTGTTAAAGAACTGGGTGGATATTGTGGAGAGATCCTTTAAAACTCTGCCGCCTAACGCTGCTGGTGAGGACAAATCTCGCCTTGTAAGAGCTATTATTTTTTTAGGTTGTAGCATTCCTCGCTTGACTGACCTAGGGAAAGCACTTGATAGACAAGGGTGATCTTCACAACATCCTTTGCAAGTAGAAAGTGAGTGCTTGCCTCTTTCTTCTGGAGAGAGGGCTTTCCAAGCTTCCATGCTAAACTTTCGTAAGAAAACGCTTCGGATTTCTTGTGGGTGCCATTTGTCGTTGAATCTCTTGGCAACTACTCAAAAATGCTTTGATGCTGTTGCGTATTTCACTTGCATGTTGCTTTCACTGGCAAAGTGATCATTGTATTCTCTAACCACTTGTGGTATGGTACCATACGGCACTGTCCGATGCTTTGTGTAGTGCTTACTTACAAATTGTTGTATTGCACACCGAGCAAAATTGCATTGAATTGCTGTACTCATGTTTTGAACATGCCTTTAGAGAGAAAAATAGTTGCTAATATACACTGTCTACTTTTCAACTCACTATTCTATGTACACTTGCCCACACACACACACACACACACACACACACAAACTACAGGCTGGCAAAGGACAGTGTGCAGTGGGAAGTTATAATTATCGCTTGCATTTACATTTAACTGTATATTTATGAACATAATACCTTTGAACGCTTCATAGATGATGAAAACAGTCAGGTTGACGGCGACCGGCGTCTCTAAAAGACAGGGGCGCTTCTCTTTTTCCCGGGGTTGCATCTGTTTCCCGCGCGCTCTCTTGCCATACCAATACCATGCTTCTCCATATATAGCTGAATCCATTGGAAACGAAACTGTCTTAATGATGAAGGCGAGGCAACGTCCT